GATGAGGTGCACTATTAGCATCTGTGCATGATTCCAAGTTAAGTGTCCCCCACTTCCCAACAGCCAGTACACTTGACAGCTGGGATTGCCTTGTTCTTTTTTTTTTTTTTTTTTTTTTTTGAGACAGAGTCTTGCTCTGTCACCCAGGTTGGAGTGCAGTGACACGATCTCGGCTCACTGCAACCTCTGCCTCTTGAGTTCAAGAGATTCTCCTGCCTCAGCCTCCCGAGTAACTGGGACTACAGGTGTGCACCACCACCCCTGGCTAACTTTTGAATTTTTAGTAGAGACAGGGTTTCACCATGTTGACCAGGCTGGTCTTGAACTCCTGACCTCAAGTGATCCACCCGCCTCAGCCTCCCGAAGTGCTGGGATTACAGGTGTGAGCCACCATGCCCGGCCCACTTTATTCATTTCTGTAAATCCAGAAATTTGAACAGCACCAGGTGTACAGAATGCATTCAATAATATTGGTTGAATTAATTAAGGAGTGCTGAATAGGTACCAGTGGGAAACTACCGTCAGCAAAAAATAAATAGGAACATTAAGGCAGAGATCCTCTGGAGGATAAACGGGGCAGATGGGTCCTGTTTTCTTTTTGGAACTTGCGACTCTCAAGCTTCCCTTTACCTCCATCTCTCTCGTTAATGTCTAGTTAATGTTGTCTTTCTTCTCCTTCATTCTTCAGACTCATGGTGGTCCTAACTCAGCTATCATATTCCCTCACTGCCTGGAAGAGTCTCTCTTCTCGTCTGTGAATGCTGCCCTCCTGCTTTTAAACGTGTAGGCAAAGTTAATTAATAGTTTGCCTCTCCCATGCCATGTGCTCGCTGCTGTCTACACTACCTGCATGGCAGTTGCTGGTTAGGGAACAGGTAAATCGTGCAAGTTGAGTGAAAGATACTAGTCACGAGAGATAAAGTATATAAAAGCAGGAGGTCAATGAGCTGTCCCCACACAGACAGGAGGCCAGTGAAGCTAAGAGGAACAGAGAAGAAGTCAGGTGTCAGTCCCCAATCTGAGATAAGAAAGGCATCTGAGAAATGGAAAGGAGGCCAGAGATCTGTCCTCGGGGAGACAGGAGGTTCTGAAGGCTGTCAAGAGGTCAGAAGGGTTCACATGGGAAATGTTCCTGTCATGGGTTTAATTTTTTTTTTTTTTTTAGAGATGGAGTCTCACTCTGTTGCCCAAACTGGAATGCAGTGGTGCGCAAAGTGCTGGGATTACAGGCATGAGCCACCTCGCCCAACCCTAACATGGGTTTAAAAATGCCCAGTATCTTCACATAGGAGCATGATGTCTATCTCGCCTAAAAGGTTTGAATATTAATTAGATTCAATAATTAGGTCTGTCTCCTGTCATGCCTCAATAAAAATTGTTTATTTTTCCTTAAGCTCCTTAGCATTTTTTTGAAAATTATTTTTAATTGGAAATTAAAATTGCATATATTTATGGTGTACAACATGATGTTCTGAAATATGTACGCATTGTGAAATGGCTAAATCAAGCTGATGAACCTATGTATTACCATATATACTTATTTATTTGTGGTAAGACCCTATTCTCTTAGCAACTTTCAAATATACAATACATTGCTATTAACTATAGTCACTACATTGCATAATACATTTCTTGAACTTAATTCCTCCTAATTAAAATTTTTATCCTTTGACCCCTTCCAACTTTTAGTCTTTTCCATTTGTTCAGATCTACAGGACTGCATTTACTTTTTATGTCTGTTGCTATAATACTCAATGCTAAATGAGATATAATTTTTTTTTTTTTTGAGATGGAGTCTCACTCTGTTGCCCAGGCTGGAGGTGCAGTGGCACAATCTCAGCTCACTGCAACCTCTGTCTCTCGGGTTCAA